CTCTCACCTGTCTGATGGTCTCATGTCTGTCTCTCACCTGTCTGATGGTCTCATGTCTGTCTGTCTCTCACCTGTCTGATGGTCTCATGTCTGTCTCTCACCTGTCTGATGGTCTCATGTCTGTCTGTCTCTCACCTGTCTGATGGTCTCATGTCTGTCTCTCACCTGTCTGATGGTCTCATGTCTGTCTGTCTCTCACCTGTCTGATGGTCTCATGTCTGTCTCTCACCTGTCTGATGGTCTCATGTCTGTCTGTCTCTCACCTGTCTGATGGTCTCATGTCTGTCTCTCACCTGTCTGATGGTCTCATGTCTGTCTGTCTCTCACTTGTCTGATGGTCTCATGTCTGTCTGTCTCTCACCTGTCTGATGGTCTCATGTCTGTCTGTCTCTCAGCTGTCTGATGGTCTCATGTCTGTCTGTCTCTCACCTGTCTGATGGTCTCATGTCTGTCTGTCTCTCACCTGTCTGATGGTCTCATGTCTGTCGCTCACCTGTCTGATGGTCTCATGTCTGTCTCTCACCTGTCTGATGGTCTCATGTCTGTCTCTCACCTGTCTAATGGTCTCATGTCTGTCTGTCTCTCACCTGTCTGATGGTCTCATGTCTGTCTGTCTCTCACCTGTCTGATGGTCTCATGTCTGTCTGTCTCTCACCTGTCTGATGGTCTCATGTCTGTCTCTCACCTGTCTGATGGTCTCATGTCTGTCTCTCTCACACCTGTCTGATGGTCTCATGTCTGTCTGTCTGTCTCTCACCTGTCTGATGGTCTCATGTCTGTCTGTCTCTCACCTGTCTGATGGTCTCATGTCTGTCTCTCACCTGTCTGATGGTCTCATGTCTGTCTGTCTCTCACTTGTCTGATGGTCTCATGTCTGTCTCTCACCTGTCTGATGGTCTCATGTCTGTCTGTCTCTCACCTGTCTGATGGTCTCATGTCTGTCTGTCTCTCACCTGTCTGATGGTCTCATGTCTGTCTCACACCTGTCTGATGGTCTCATGTCTGTCTGTCTCTCACCTGTCTGATGGTCTCATGTCTGTCTCTCACCTGTCTGATGGTCTCATGTCTGTCTGTCTCTCTCACACCTGTCTGATGGTCTCATGTCTGTCTGTCTCTCTCTCACCTGTCTGATGGTCTCATGTCTGTCTCTCACCTGTCTGATGGTCTCATGTCTGTCTGTCTCACACC